GTGTTGCCTCAGATTCTATGATTGCATAGATTTTCCCTTCCTGGGGCTTAAAGTTACCAAAGTCTCCCGGGTGGTTGGGGTGATGTACACTGTGTGGATTGTAGTGGCTGCCAGTGGAGTCACACCCCTGGCTCAGGTCTCCATACTGATGGATGTGCACCGCCCTGGGCTCCGGATTGTCCTCTGCGGGGAAGCCACTCAACCGGAGAATGACTTGGAGTTTTCCCTGATGATAATCCTGTTTAAACAGCACCTGACCGTCCACTTTGGGCAAACCCTCAGGTAGTGAGATGCTGGGTCTGATTTCACAGGCTGCATACAGAGTGCTGTTGTGCTGCCAGACCTCTGGTGGAGCCACAGCGTCACTGTCATCTGAGACACATTGTTGACAGCCTGCCAGCAGAACCAGTAGGGCAGTTTCAAATATATGAATTGACCTGAAATAGATTAGAATTATTAGGACACTGCATCAGATGCTAGATTATTTAAATAGTCACCATTATTAGGCTACTTAATCATTAACATTTAATGATCTTTTTACTGTTGCAGATAGAGTGTGAGCTTTTAATCATAGTTGTATGGTAAATTATCAATCTACAAAAAACTTGTCAAAAATGTATATTGGAGTAAAAGTATTATATTTGCCTGTACAATTTAGTTTAGTAGAAGTATAAAGCAGGCAAACTACTTTAATTCATCAAGTACAGTGCAGTTTAGTAAATGTACTTTATTCTTATGTCTTATTTTCCACCGCTGTAAAAATTGTTCAACAATAAATGCCAGTATTTCCTTCTACAACAAACGTTTTGCTCCAGTACTTCAGTAAATTGTCCTGAGTAGGTCTGTCAAGTGACCACAATGCCCTAGTGCACAGCAATTTAAAATAAAATAAATGTACAGAGAAAAGTCTCGATATCTCCCGCTGAAAAGAATGAGGGGCCGTATTAGGTGCACAGACTGCTCTTATCACTGGACTAAACGTGACGCCGCAATATTTCCCCCTGCAAATAAAGTTCATTATAGTTCAGACCAAACGCAAAGTCTGATATATGAGCATAGTCCACTTACCCGTGTAGACGCATGGTCAGCTTTACAAAACAAAACGCCACAAAAGCTATAAATGTGAAGTTTTCGCTCGGTTAACGACTCACGGTGCACTACTTTTCGTGGAAGCGTCGCAGCGTGTCGGTGGGCGTGGCTTGGCTAAAGTGCAGCAGGATGGACCTTCACTTCTATTTGTTTTTCTCCAAATGTGCAGCTGATCCAGAACCTCACGTGGTGGCACGTTGTTGGATCAGCTTAAAATGTAAAGATAAGCTGTTGTCGTGTTGTTAAAATAGTCCTGCTCTTGGGAACGTCCTCCTTAAGCAACACCAATTACTACGTGTTAATACCCAAATTACCGTCGATTAGTCAGTCAATTAATGAGAAAGTGAAAAGACATGGACATTAGTTTACAGATAGGATACTGCCAGCAGGAGCAGAGATGTAACAATACCACATTTCAAAGCTTGAGTAAAATAGTGATAGTAATAATAGCCTAATTAATTCCACATATGACCATTTAGGCCTACTCAGAGACTATACCTATACAATTTTAGTATGTTAAACATATAGCCTACCTGTCAGCTTCTTAGTCATACCATTAAAATATGTCTAATTATGATAATAAACAATTTGCATTTGAAGAGAAGTCAGATGTTGCAACTGACACCTGGGGAAAGTTGCAACAGTCATTAAAAGTCATTATTTAACTTGCATTTGTCTTAATTTTGAACAGTTTTACAAAATGTATTGTAAATATCTATAAAAATCACAGTTGTTTTATTTTTCTTTGTGACTCTCCCGGGGGCCCAGTATCCTCCTCTCAGTTGCCGCTTGATGCGTAGCTTCTGTTTTTAAAAACAGTACAGGGTGGTCTGGTAAATAATTGTCCTCCGCCACTGACCTACCATTAACCGTTCTGCTATCATCCCATCTGATGGCCTTGTGAGAAAATGTAGGCATGGGGGATATTCCTATCAGACTACTCACTGTCACAACAGAAAGGGGTTTTTTCAGCCAAGTAGCAATATTCAAACTCAAGGGGAATAATAACTGTATTTTTCTTTTATTTATTATTGTTGTATCAGTTTTTATATGACTGATGAGTGGGGAGTAGCATCATAATAGTAAAAACATAACATTTAAATTCTTAAATAAACCTATGTTCAGTTAATTTTACTTTAGTAAATGTAGGCTGCTTGCTTGGTGACTTGCTGCTTCTAGGAAGAATGTGATCAAATTTTACCTGATGTCTGACAAAATCTTCCTCTTATTTTTCTCATAGGTTGGTGTTCATGTGGCTGCTCTGGTTGGTCCAAAGTAGTGAGGCACTGTGGGACAGACATGGTCACATTATCATGTTACAGAAAGCTATAGGCCCACTTTCAACAAATGAACAAAATATATACTAAAACAGTTAAGGTCTTAAACCAAAGAGTAAACATGGTGCTTTGGGGGACCCTGATCTGAGGACCCTTGACCATGTAATACCCCAGTTCTTTTACTGGACAGATCTGAATAAGGAATGAGTCCGTCTTTCTTCATTTTAGTGCTGATTTATATAAAACCACAAGCAAAACTACAAAACACATCCCGGATGGCTCCTTCCTCCAGAGACACACACCCTCTGGCTGCT